GATGGAGGAGGAGAATGACGTAAGCTGCCTTGAGCCCTTTGTAGGAAAAAGGCAGGATATAAATCGAAAAATAAATAAATATTAAAATCTTAAATAAAGTGTATTCTGTGAACTCCGTGCTCGGAGAGCTGATACTTAGGTAAATGTTCCTGGCCGCTTCCAGACCCTGCTTGCAGCGGAGGGGCCCGAGAACTCACTGGGAAAGCACCAGGAGCAGGCCGGCTTTCTCACTTGCTTGCGCTCACCTCATTGCAAGCCAGATTGCTTTTTGGAGTGGACTAGGCTTTTGTAAAAAAAACATTTGTCAGGTAAAGTTGTAACTCACCAATGCCATCTGGCCTGCAAAGCGTCTGTGGGGCTGCGGAAGGGGCGCTGCTGGGGAGAAAGGGTCCCCTGCCTGGTCTCCGGCAGCTTCACTCGAGGATTAGCTGGTCAATGTGTGCTTGAAAGCACACCTGAGATGATCCCATGATTCCATGTGTGCAGAAAAGAAGATTTATGTCCGCTGCTTGAGCTTCTCCACTGGAGTTTTCCTTCATCCTTCCCATCCAGAACTTGTGACTGGTAATTTGATTCAAATTACGGTGTTTCCCCGAAAATAAGACTGGGTCTTATATTAGTTTTTGCTCCAAAAGACACAGTAGGACTTATTTTCAGGTGATGTCTTATTTTTTTTTTCTTAGGAAAGCTGGAAGATTCTTGTCCCGAGAGACTGCACGACTCCTCTCTTGTACTTGATGGAACATTTCTTCCTTTTTGCACGCATCCTGAGTGGGGGTCCAAATATTATTCCCTTTAAATCTACCCTTAAATCAAGTGTTAACTGAAGACTTAGGAGACAGGAGTGGCAACACAAGAGTGCATTAAGTATCTCCGTTACAACACACGACGTATCGAATTATTGAACACGTCCATTCGTTATCAAGTGCGCATGTTGTTCTTGCGTTGAGTCTGTACTCCAGTTGGTCATTGGGCAATAAGTCTCAAGTTCATCTGTTTACATAGGCATTTACCTCTCATCCAAGGAGCCCACTTAGGTGTTTACAAATAATTATAATTTATATTATCATTTAAGTATTAATGTCAATATTAGTGTTTATATATATATTATTATTTTATAATTCAATACATCTGTTGTGTGTTGCAACGGACATACTAAATGCATCCGTCTGGCTGACGATCTTAACTGGGGCTTATTTTTGGGGTAGGGCTTATATTACAAGCATCCCAAAAAATCATGCTAGGGCTTATTTTCCAGTTGGGTCTTATTTTCGGGGAAATACAGTATTAATCATTTATTCAGGGGAAAGCACAGAGTGTGACATTTATCATGAAAAGGTCAATTTTATTCAGATTTAATTTTTTCAATAGTTCATTCAAAAAAGCGAAAGCCAAGCAATCAACTAACATTTCTTATGCTGTACATAGTGGACTACACAAAGTTTTACAAGAAAACATTATTTTTCAAAATTTATAAATATTTGTAACAGAATTTTTCTATTTGTTCCCTTGTTGTTAAATAGTTTGTAATACCAAGAAATGGTATTTTATTATTTATAAAATACTGATGGACTTCTTCCTAATGTATGGCTGCATATTTGCTAGATAAATCGAAATACTTAAATACTTTTCTCCCTCAAAATCACATTTAAGAAATACTTGGAAATGCTTCTTCTTCTTCATCATCTCTGTGTAAACAGGACCAGTTTAGCTGCCATTTTAACAATCTATTTTACAGCAGACGCATTTAATTGGCAAAGCAGGACTGAAAGGTCCCCCTACAGTCTTACAAAATGCTGTAAATCAACATTTCACAGGGGCTGGGTAGACACTGCTGCTTGGCAACTTGGAAGAGAAAGTGCTCAGTTCTTACCTTGCACACAATCCACCCCCCGCCCCCCAGCGTACACACCTGGTACTCTTTTTCCTGTATTTTGCTGCAGGAACAAAACTGCAGTGCTGAAAAAGCAAAGGATGCAAACATGTGCCCAGCCGCAGACTGGACAGTGTTAGAATCCAGAGAGTTGCCATCCAAGCACAGAATGTCTCCCCACACACGCCTTTGCTGGCCAAATAAACACGGTCTCCAAGAGGGGCGCCCTTGGCCAGGGCCTGGCTCAGGCCCATGCGGCCAGGCCTGTTCAGGAGGGCTTCTTCCCCCATGCGCCATGCCTCCCGAGGGTCCACGGGGGCAATTTTTGGTCGCTCGGGGGCTTGCAAGAAGAGCACCGAGGCCTCCAGAGGGGAGTGCCAGTCGCTTCCTCCCTTACGAGGTTCTGCACACGGAGGGTTCCTTCCCTGGAACGGCTGGTGCATGTGGCACACGTTTCGAAGAACTGAGCCGTGAGTCAGCTGCCTGTGTGCGTCTTCTAGGCTTCCACAGGAGCCCCAAGAGCAGCCTTCCCCAGCCTGGGTCTCCAGCCACATGGGGAGTCCCACCTCCACGACCCCAGCCAGTCGTGGGCCCGGGAAGCACCAGCCCGGGAAGCACCAGGCCGGGGAAGACGCTGATGCATGGCACTTGCTTTTCCAAATGGCAGGCAAACCGGCTTAAGATCCGACTGTGCAGGTAAAGGAGCTTGCGCCTTCCAGCATGTGTCCAAGAGCTGTAAACGGGAGGGCAAGCAGAGGGAACGCTCCGCAGTGCCTCTTTCTCGGGGGATATGCCACAGCAGCTGGCCTCCTTTCCTTAAGCAGAACCGAGATTCTCCGGAGGAGCCCAACCCACCACTATTCCAGAAGACAATCCCTGGCCGTGTTTTCCTAAGCTGGACATCCCCTCCAGCCCCCACAAGGGCAAAATGGAGCAAGGTGGCGTTCCCAGGCCATGCTGCTGGTTCCAGGGAGCGCAAGGAAGCCTTTTACTTTTAAAGGCCTGATTCATAGAAAAATGGTCTGGAAAACAGGTTTTAAGCATGAATTGCTTAGCCAGCTGACTTTCCATGACCTGTGGAAAACGAATGAATCTGGATGAGATGCTGCGCTCCCAGATACCAGCCGGACCTCAGTCCGACCCACTCTGCCACTCTGCGCCCCCTCGCACTGTGGGGGCCTTAGGATGTGGCAGCAGGGAATGCGCAGGTGGAGAGAGCTGCACCACCTGGCCCATGGCCGGAATTCGGGGGTGCAGGGCGTGTGTGGCAAGGCTGCTCGAAAGAGCCGAACCCTGAGTTTCCAAGATGCCTCCAACAGCCTTCCGCAACCTGGCACCTCCAGATGTGCGGAACAGACACATCTGGAACATGCCAGCTCGGGAAGGCGGGCCTAATAGTCCTGAAGTTCTTGAATGAACAATTTTGGTAAGGTGCCATTTTAATCAAAGTAGAAATGCATTTTATACGAAGTGTGAAATCCGCATCAAGGGTCCTGAAGCGTGTGGATCATTCTGACACCTTTGTACTGCGTGGACCTGCACTTCACCCCAGCAGTTGGGCAGAACGCCCTTCATCTGAAAGGGCAAACATTTACTTTCAAAGCAGCCATCACACTGATAAAAGCAGAGGAAGGTGGTTGAAATTTCCCGGCGTGGGACAGCAACCTACCAACACGCACCGCCCTGATGTACAATCTATTTGTTCAGCATGGCTCTGTGTTAGCAGGTTGGGAATTAGAAGGAATGGCTGTAAAATCCCCCGAAACACCATGGACATTCCCAGAAGGGAACCTGCTCTTGATCAAGCAGAGGGGCAGAGAGTGAGGAAGAGAGAGCCCGGGGGCAGTTTCTTTTGGAGACCGAAGTTGCATAAGGAGTTCCCCGCAGAAAGACTCTTACAGGAGTTAAAGCAGAGAAAGCTCCAGCCCAACTGATTCCAGTGGGGAAGGGTTCCAGATGCATTTAATTTCCCCACTGAGGAAAAAAAAGGAATTTGGACCAGCATGTGACTGTGGTTTTATGACAGCTGAGCTCCACTGGCTGCTTCTTCAGCAGCTGAGGCCCATGGCCAAAATGCATTTTAAGGCGGGCAGGGTCTTTGAGGGTATTGCCCCAGTGTAGCACTGGGAGCTCCTAGTCCCTGAGACCGGGGCTTTGGGGCCAGTGTGGCGTTCCCTCCGGCTTGGAAAACCCTCGGCTCAGCCTGTGGTGGCAGAGACGTGAAGCTGCCTTTTCGAGCCAGAGTCATCTGTCCATTCAGCCCCACATGCAGAATCTCAGGCCAGGGGGCCGAACCCAGGAGGAGACACACCTGTTCCCCTCGCTCTGCCCTTTCCCCTCATCCTCGGGTGAGCCCTGCTTTTTGGGCACTTCGCCCCTGCCCTGGCTCGATAAAACTTTGGAATGCCTACACTAAGACTTAGTCATTGGCAGGAAGAGCATCTCAGCTAAAATAGGTAGGGACCTTCTGTATTGCTGGCCTTCGCCACCGCCCACCCAGGGAGAGCACCAAAGTGGAAACATCCCCAGCTGGAAGAGGTTTGGCACCCCAGCTTTGGCCCAGAGCAGCAAGCAGAGAGCCCCTGGGGACGCGGAGGCTTGAACCAGGAGCTTCCTGGGAGCAGGGGGGCTGCTGCCGCCTGCAGTGAAGCCAGCTGTGCACCCGGATCAAAGTGCACCAGCAGAGCAGATGCCAGGTCCAGCCCTTCCTTCCTTCCTTCCTTCCTTCCTTCCTTCCTTCCTTCCTTCCTTCCTTGGTCTGCTCTGCTGGGCTGTTGTGCTTCTGTGCACCAGGATGTGCAGCTCCGTGTGCAGCCACCAGAGGCCTGCCAGACCCCCCGTGCGGCCGCGGCCATGCAAGCGGCTCTTCTGAAGCCAGTGGAGCTCGGACTGGGAACCCGACGGCGCCTGTCGTTGCCGCTCTTCCGAGAACAGGGTTTGTGTCCCTAGCAAAGCCTCGCTGGACTATTTACAGTGAGTAACCGGACACCTCCACGAAACGGAAGCATGTCGCTTGGTCCATGCAGTGAGTGTACAACACCACCCGGCAGGATTTCCATCCATCGGCATCTTTCCCTCCGACGCTCCACCCCTGGCCCGGAAGCACCGCCGAGCGCCTTCTGACGCCCTACTTCATCTGCTGGATTTGCTTCTGCAGCTCCTCCTTGTCCAGTTTCATTTTGGCTTCCAGAACCTGCCGCAGCGAGCCGATGCTCTCGTAGATGGTCGCAAACCCTAGGCAGGGAAAGACGTAAACACTGAAAAGCTTTGCCACTCTTGAAAAACAGCTGGTGATTAATGCTCAAGGCAATTCTGTTTTCAGTTTATTTTTCTTCATTAGAGTGGAACATTTTAAATCCCCTCAAAACGGCTCTATGTTTACAGGCAGCATAAATCAATTCCGAATCGAGAACAACGGAGGGACTGTGGAGCTGGTCACAGCCAGGAGATTTTCCCCCAGTACAAATTTGGGGAGTGGGCAGCTGACACACTGCCCGCAGCTCCATCTTCAGAGGGCTTCTCAGTAAGCCCGGAAGCGGGCCAAGGCATTGTGCCGGGCCACAAACGCGCCAGCATTCACCTCGGGCCGCAATCCTTACCAGCGTTCACCTCGGCTTTCACTTCCTTTATGTCCGCATTGATATCCATCTGAATCTTGCTGAGCTGGACGCTGACCCCGCCTTCAGCCCCTTTTGCCCCCGGCTCCTCCACAGCGATCTTGCGGGTGTCTTCCATCTTATCCAGCTTCCCCTGGACCTCTCGGAACTGCACCTCCAAGGCTCTGCTGTCCATTTCCTGGGGCCAGGCAAACATTTGAGACTTGTCACTGGGCTCGCTGCCTGACGGCCCCTTTTCAGGCAGAGTCCCAGGATTTCCCCCAGACAAGCCGGTGGTGACCCTCCTGCCTGGCAAAGCCAGGTAGCCCCAGGGTCTTTGAGGCAGCCAAAGAGGCTCAGTTCGGACCTAAAGGGAAACCCTGTGCAATCTTAACTGTGCGGCCACCAGTTTTCATCCATTTTATTACAGTGGCCACCTTAGAATAAGCCAGTGCTTTTTTGTAAGAAAAAGGGTGCCGGAACTCGTGAAATTATTTACCTTTCGCACGTAGTCAATCACTGCACACACCCACACATGTCAGTTGTGTAATGAAACATAGTGGTCACCACCTGCAGTAAGCACTCAGCGCACGACCACACAACCAATCACAAGCCGAGCAGCGCCATCACAACCAGTGTGAGGTACGCATGCATCGGATTCGACACACGAGCGGCCCGCATGCACCGTTTTAATGATTTTGCCGCCGACCTGCTACGCTTGACATGGACCAAACATCACATTTTCAAAAGTTACTTTTAAAACTTGGAAAATCTGTCCAAAAAAGGTGCCGAAACTCCGTTCCGGTGCATTCTATGACAAAAAAAGCACTGGAATAAGCTATATTTGCACAATGATTTTAGGACTGCAAAGCCACTTGGCCACGTGCTACATGGCAGCCAATATCCAGAGTGGTATAGACTTTCAGCCTGGCCTACCTCACAGGGTTCTGGTGAGGATAAAATGGGGGGGCAGGAAGAAGATACAAGCTGTGTTGGGTTCCTTGCAAGAAAAAAGGCAGGGTAGAAACCAACTAAGTCAGTAAAATAAATAATTATTTCTAAATAAGATGCAACAAATAAACAAGCTGGAGCTTTTTGTTAGGAGAGTGAATCTCCAAGGAGATCAGAAGTTTCTTTCTTATTTCTAAGGCACAGAGCCAGACATGTCAAGAGGGTGGTGGTCAGGTAGGAGGGACCCCCAAGGGCTGTCTAAGCAATGCTAAAAGGGCCCACCTTGCCAGACTCAGTTCTGCCTAAAATTTCCCAGGACCACACGCCAAGGCCGTGGTGCTGCGGCCAGGCATGCAAGACGCTCTGCACGGGTGCGGGAAGCGATGCACGTACGCTCTTTTCCTTGATGGCCAAGGACAGCTGCTCGATCTTCTCCAGAAACTCCTTCTCAAAGCGCTTGTGCTCCTCCTCCATCCAGGTCCGCGTGGACGCGATCTGGTTGCTGAGGTAATCGATGACGTCCTGCAGTCTGGAGGAACGGCAGGTGCTTGTGCTGAGAAACACGCCAAGCAGCCCCTCTGAAGGCACTGGCTGCAGCTGAGACCGTCCGGGGCAGCCGCAGCCGCAGCCCCAGCCCCAAACCCTCCCTGCAAGAGCAGCCTTCACCCACTGGGGCAGACGCGAGTGTTGCTGCAGCTGAGGGAGGGAGCTGGCAGGGTGCGTGTGAGAAAGGCACATATTGCTAGGCTCAGTCTGAGCAAGGAACACCCGAGGGCAGGTGTGCAGGGTCACAGAGAGAAGCACTGTCCTGCCGCAGGATCCGGCCCGGGGTCCACAGCCCAGCAGCTGTCACGACAGAGGGACCTGGGCGCCCCTTTCTGTGCACGCACACAGAATAGCCTTGAAGGGCCCCCTGCACCATGAATAGGCCTATGGGCCAAGCTGCCCGCCTAAAAGGAGGGCTTGCAGGCGAGGGGTTTTCCTCCTTTGTTTAATTCCAGGTGGGGGGATCCAGAGGGGAAAACGTATGGAGAAGCTGCGGCCCTGCCCAAGTGCCACAGTCCCCGTCTGGGTTGGGACGGTGCTTATTCACCTGGGAGTCAGAGAAGCAGGTAGCACAGTGGGCAGCCAGCTTCAGTTCTTTTGGGGGGACATGGTTTTGCAGCAAGCCTGGAGCCTGTTTTCTGGCGGCATGTTTGTGACTAGCAGTCACGGGCCCACCTGTGCTGTGGAGTCGCCTCCCACTGAGCAGCCCCTGTGAGCGAAGGCCCTCCGAGGCGGCCTGCCTTGGCCCGCCCTGCTCCGTTCTTCCTGGCGCAGGTGCGACCCATCCGTCCCCCGGCTACTCTTCCCCTTCTCTTTCTGCCTTCGACTTTCCCCGGCACGACTGCAGACGACTGCAGTTTGCAAGCTACGTCGGGCAAAAACGGGCTCCCAAAAACCTCGGGCGGCCCTGGCTGCCCTGGCCAGCACACGCGGGAGGGGTGCAGGGGGGCACCGAGCTGCGAGCCCACTCACTTCGTGTCCAGCAGGTGGAGCTGTTGGTTGCTCTCCTTGTAGGTGAGCTTCAGCTTGGCCTCCTGCTGCATGATGGACTGCTCTATCCTGCTTAACAGGTGGGAGATCTGGAAGAGAAGAGCGGTTGTTGCCCCGCTTTTGTTCACACCCAGTTTGAAGAGGGACGTCTCTCTTGCGGGAGCAGCCGCTGCTCCAATGCCAGGCCACTGCTCAGAAGGGTAGCTAGGAAGCGTTACGAGGTTCCCCCGCATTAACGCGTGAGGTGCCCCTCGCCTGAGAGCGCCTGTCCGCCAAGGGGGCAGATCCGCCCATGCAGCACTGGTTCTTGCAACAAAGCCCCGCTGCACAGCAATGTCTGCGGGGGGGGGGGGTGCGTGGTCTCCCTTGCCACCATGTGCGGGGCCAGAGGAGCTGCCCATCCATGCCCCGTGGCCCCCCGTCAGAGGTGAGAGCCCAGCTCAGGGGCCAGGGCCTGGTCACCCACCCGGCACGGACGGGAGTCCTGTCCGCTGATGACGATGATGCCCACAATTGGTGCCCACTTTGGTGCCAGGCACTCGGCTTCTGCAGCGAGGTGGGTGCAGAAGTACTTCCCCCAAAACATATACGAGTTTCCTATTTTTGTTTCCAAATACAGCCATCCCGATTACAGTTCTCCAGCTTATCAGAGGTATAAAACATCCCAGGTTGCCATATTTCCAGTTCTAAGCCTATTCCAGTGATTATCAAACAGTCTCTAGCTGTTAAAATACCGTGGAATTTTAGTTCTGCACAGCAGGAAATGCATTGCTGGGTTAGCTCTTTTCCTGCGGCCCAATATATGCTTTGGATGGTTCTTCCGGAGTAACTCCTGCTCAGCAAGACCCCCTGCAGTGTAAATTGAAAGCTTCCTGCTTACAAGTTGTGCCCTCCCTCGTTTTGCTGCCCTTTGCACATGGCAGTAACAAATCTCAGGTGAGCATTGGTAGAAACAGGCCCCCCGAGAAGCGAGAAGGGGGTATCCACATATCTGAGGGATCTTGGGGTTTGCAGAAAGGTCCCTCTTCCATGTCAACTAGGAAGAGAAAATTGGAGGGGCTGGGAAGGGGGGCAGAATCACATGGCCTTTGGAAAAAAGTCCTGCTGGCCAGTAGCCTCCCATGGCGCTGTGGGGGTGCCCCACGTTACCCACAGGCACCTGGCACCAACAGGGACTCCGACTGTGCCCCAAAACGCTCCCCTCCATAGCTGAAGCTCTCTCAGCCATTTCCAGCAGCAGATTTAGAATTTCAGCAATGTAGACTTTCAGGAGCACAACAAGGCCCACGTGAAGCATTGCCAATCCTTAAATTGCAGAGTACTCAAAAGACTGGCGCTGAAACAGGTGGGAGGGCCACATTCCTTGTATAAAATCTTGGAAGACCCCCTGCTGGAATCACGGGTCTTTTTTCCGGTCTTTTTTCCAACTCAGGGATGCCACCGCTGCTTCCAGGCAGATGCCTGGAATGTCACGGGGTGGCTTTCCCACAGTGACTACCCCCCTCCCGCCCCCAATTGCTGAGTAATGCTGGGTGGTGCATGACTTGACAGATTTCTCTGGAGTGGTCCCCCTTGTGCAAGCCCTTCTGGGCCAGGAGGGTTCCTTGGCAGGCTGGCAAATGCACACAAACGTGTGCTTCAACACCCAGAGGGGTCTGGAAAGGCAGGAGGCAAGGCCGGGATGTGGCCAGGAGATGAGGACGGGGCTTCCCAGAGGTGGCATGGGGGGAAACTGAATGCCGCTGTCCAGTCGGGACACCATCCTACGGAGGTTTACACAAAAGAAGGCCTGGGAAGGCCTGCGAACGCCTAGCTGTAGGCCTTGCTTCTGTCTACACATTCACAGGATTGTGTCTTGAGCTGCTGATCCGAAACCGCTGCATCCCACTTCAACAAACCCGGAGCAGTGAACAACATAAAGCAAGCGAGCACAACAGTTTCAAAAACAGGTTAACATTAACCGTTACTGTAAGCCACTAAAATAAGTGAAAAAGGGGAAAAATAGGAACAACCATTCCCATCATTTGACAACAGCGATTAAAACGTCTTCGAAAAAGATGCAGCCACTTATGGCCTCATAGCCTTTCCAAACAAAAGGCTTGGACCATCCTCTGGCCATCAAGGTAAATGCATCGGACCTCTTGGGCAGTGCTTTCCAGAGCTTAAGCCCAAGGTTTGGAACTGGTTTTAAACTGCTGCCAAGGTCTTGCCTTTCGCAATTCGAAAGCAAATACACCCGAAGAGGCAGCTCAGAAAGGGGTGAGAGCCACTAAGAACGCCAACAGCCTCTACCTGTATTTCTGCTTCTTTGATTTTAGATTCCAGGATCAGTTTAGTGGTCTGGTGATCTTTGCTCAGGTTCTGAAGCCTTTCGTAGGTCACCTTGTGCTCAGCAGATAGTCTGGCCAATCCAGCGTCACACCTATTCAGAAAAAACAAGCTTCGTTGGGGGTCACCAGGGACAAGGGGCAGGGAACTGGAGTGGGAGGGGCAGCTGTCCGCAGGCTTCCTATGGGTCTCTGGTGGGCCAGGATGGAAAACCGGTCCCTGGGCCAGGCAGACCCTCAGGTGCCTCCTGCATCCGCAATGCTCTTCAGGGGCTGGAGAGATGGCCCCTGCTTCAGGGATGCTGGAGAGATGGCAGGGATGCTGGAGAGATGGCCCCCGCTTCACCTGCGCACCTGGTGGGAAGGCCCCTGCAGGAGCCCATTGTCCATGCTGTTTCCTCAACAGCGAGTCAAGCTGAGAGAATGCCGTGGGGCATGTCTGCTCGGAAGCACCCCCCCATCCCACATGCAGAGGGACTTCTAGGCAAGCAGGTAGAATGCAGCAGCTTTCTACTTCTGTTTTCTGGCTGGCCTATTGTAAACCTCTGGAAAAAGTAGGTTAGCTTTGAAAGAACCATTTCTGAAGACCTTTTGTCTGTCGCATTTTGAACAGCGGACTCCTCACTGCTAAGAGAGGGCTTTTATCTTCCAGAAATGGCAACTCCTTGTCTTATTGTGCCCCTGAATGTTGCTTTGCTATTTTAAAGATGACCTCAAGGCAAGAGCCTGTGCCAAATAATGATTTGGCCTTCCCAAAAATGCCTTTTGGGTGGGTGACATGTATTTCCTGGAGCTGAAGCTTTGGCGTCTTGCGTGCCACTCGCTCTTCATGGTGTGCAGGGCTCAGGCACACACCTCTGTGTTCACACGTGCATGTACACAGATGGTGTTGGTGGTGCAACAGACTCACAGTCCTTCCTATGGCATATTTCACAGGGGAGGGGAAGACACAGAAGGGAGAGAAACCTCAGAATCAAATAGCCAGCACCATCAGCTGGATGAAAAGCCGGAAAGTGTAGAGCGGTACCAAACCTCGTAGGACACAAGAAAGCATTTGCCTCTGGGGAGAGGCCGCTCTCCAACTGCTGAATACTGGGGGCCACCATCAGAGGGTCCCCGCATTCCCTTCCAGGCCTCTCTCAGTGTAGGGGTGGGAAGCAGGTGATAGGAGAGCCCTCAGGACTGCTGGACTGATTCTGGGTGCACTAATATTAGTGCCACCTTCCCAGAAGCAAGCAGCCATGCCGAGCCCAGCAGCCAAGTCTGCCCCCCCCCGCCCCCTGCCCCCCCCCCATCTGGTGCTTGTCCAGCTTTTGCCCAGTTCTTCCCCCACCAAAATGCTTCTCCTAAACTTAGTTTTTTCTTTCCCGACATTGGGAATACAGTGGCATTCCAGTGCCAAAGGGACTAAAGTCCATGGAAAACAGCACTGATGAAGGCAGAGGTTCTTTTGAGAAATGGTGTTGGGTTGGGTACTGTTTTTATTCTATTGTTTTAATGTGTGTTGTGATGCTTTTGTTTGTCATTCTTACTCCAGCCAGGTTTCTTTTCTGACGGGAAGCTGCCCTGAGTGCCTTTTTCCTTGGCGGAAAGGTGAGGCTCAAATACAGTCAACAAAACTTGGGGAAGTGTTCCTGGCGCGAACCTTGCAAAGTCGCAACCCATGAGCACAAGCCCGGGCTGTGTGCTGCCTTCCCAGGGCCAGGGGTGGTGTGTCCATGCACCCCGGGAAGCGACTCTCCGGCTCCTGTCCTGCACGCGGGCATCTCGCTGGGGCACCCAGGTGGCCACAGTGTGAACAGAACGCTGCAGCTGACGGAGCCCGGAGCCCGCCCGATCTTCTGTGCTTGCGCGTTTGAACAGCAGCAGCACAGGCAAGGAGGACAAGCTGACTCTTAGGGCTTTGCCAGTACACAGTGTACAGAGTCATCTCAAGAAACCAACGCAAGTGTCTAAAATAAACCGCACAATTACGGCCCAGCGGTGCCTTTCGGAGGGGCAAGGGGAGGGCTGCATCTAATGTGTGGCTGAAAAGCCTGTTTTGTTCTTCCTGACAGTTCTAAGAAGTGGCGGTGAAAAAGCAGCTCGCAGTGTTATGACTTCTGCTGAAGCGCTGCATGTGTGTGTGTGTGTGTGTGTGTGCGCGCGCGCACTCCGAGAAGACATGCCGTGTGCTCTGCTGCAGGCTGGCACGGGAAGGATGCACGCCGCTCTGAAGCGCTCCGAGCCGGTGGGCGGCCGAGCAGACCTGGGGGGTCTTTGGCGCTGCTTCAAAGGCTCTACATGGGCCTGCTCCAGGCTCCTTCATGGAGGGCCACCGGTCACAAGGGCCGACCGTCTGTGTGGAGCCTCCAGCCCAGAGGAAACTCCGGGAGCGGGTGGGAGAAGGCAGTCGCCTCCCTGCCTGCAGCTCAGTTGTGGAAGAAGGGCCTCCCTGCGCAATCTAGCCAGAGCTGGGTTTTCAGGATGCTGGTGAAGGAGTGCTGCTTTGCATTCCGTGCCAGGCGGAAAGCAGCCACTCCAGGGCCCATGTGGGTTCTCTCGCGGGAAGGCTGTTTTGGAGCAGCGCTTCTCGGGGATGCTCTGTCTGCCAACGGCCTCCTCTCCCTGAACAACTCCTACTTCTCGCTGCAGCAATTGCCCAATTGCAGTTGACGAGCAAAGGGCTCTCATGCCAAAGGGGCCCCTCCCAGCCTCCCTCGCCCTCAGTGGAGGCGCATCCCCGGACAGCGGCTGCTGCACTGATTCAGTTTAGCCCGTCAGCTCGGCAGAAACCCTCACATCGCAGAGCGACACTGGCAGAGGAAGGGGCTGAAAGGCATAGAAGCTGCCGGCCAAACCAAACGGGCACCTCAGCACTTTCGTATTATCTAGTTCCTTTTGCACACAGAGGGACAACAAACCAAAAAGAAACAAAACAGAACAAAACCCTACATTGGATGGGGCAGGCTCAGCCAGACGAACTTGTTTCCGAAGTCGCAAAATGCCAAATTGTTGTTTCATTCCTGTACTGCCTCATAGCCAAAGCTAATGCACGAAATTAGTACGCCAGAGAACGGGTGGTCCCAGCGAGGGTTCCCCAGGAGCTTGGAGGTCAAGGGCAGCAGGGCAGTGGCAGGCAAGGGGGGCGCAAGGCCCCGGAAGTGAAAAGGGGGCGGTTGGGCCCTCGAGCAGCAGGACTCTGCAGAGCTCCGCCGAGCTGCCAAAACCCCCTGGTAGCCCTCCTGGGGCCCTCCCTGCCACACGGGTTCCTCTGCCTGCCCCTAGGGGGGCCACCTGGCCTCCCGTTCAGCAGGGCAGGGTGCCCCCTCCTCTTCTGGGGATGAGCCTGCTGGTCTCACACGTTCCCTTGTCTAGCAGTGTCATTTGCCCAGCAGAAGCAGGACAAATGTGCCCGACTGATGTACATATGCAGAGATCGGCCCTGATCCCCCTCTGAAAGTGCAGCCTTCTAAGGTTGTTGGCTCAGCTTCTGAAGCAGAATGCGGTGGGGGAGGCTAGAGCAGTCTCCCCCAAGCATACGGACCTTCTCAGGAGCACCCAGGTCTGTTGGAGCGACTTCTCCGCCGGTCCGTGTTGTGCCCGGCGCTGCTTGTGCCGCTGCAGGGGGTTTGCTCTGCTGGAGGGGGATGCACCGCAGCCCTCAAAGGACGAGCCATCCCCAAGAACGTACCTTGCCACGCGGCCCCGGAGGTCGCCCAGGCCAGAGAGCTGGCGCAGCTCCAGGCTCTTCAGTGTCGAATTCGTCCCATAGCTGAGGTTATCCCGGACACGAATTTGTTCCTGGAGAACCTGCATTTGAAGGACAGTGAAAGGGGTGAACCCCGCGTGGGTGTGTGCAGCTCGGAGGGCAGCAGAGCAGAAAATGGGGGGCATCTCGGTGCCCTCCTGTGCGTCTCCCCAAGCCACAGGGAGGTTCCTTGGGCCTGATCCTGCAACCCCCCCCCGCCCCCACACACACACCAGGCATGTGAAACCTTCACCATTCCGAGGGCCAAATTCGGCTTGTGGGGAGGTCTCAGGGGCTGCGCTCCCAAGGTGGGTGGGGTGGGGGGGGCAAAGGGGCAGGACCCAACTGCCAGGGGATTGTGGCTTAAAGCCCCTACGGCCGGCAGCAAGCCTCCGGAGAGCCGCTACGACCGTTGGGAGGCGGCAAACTGCACTAAGGTCGCCAGGGAGAGAATCCACGGCCAGCGGAGGGGCTGGGTCCGGCGTGGGGCCTGCTCCTCTGCCCCTCTGACATGATGGCCACTTGGGGCCCTCAGGTGTTCTTGGACTGCAGTTCCCACCAGCCATTACCACTTCCTGAGCTGGCTGAGGCTGATGGACATTGTGGTCTGGAGGGCTGACTGTCACCCAGGTCTGGATTCGACCTCTCCTCCACCTATCAGAGGCACTTAGCCGTGTTAATGAATGAAACCTCCACATGCAGAGGCAGTGTACCTCTAAATGCCATCTCTTGGGGAGATAATGGGGGCTGTTGCCTCCATGCGGCACAAAGCAAGCTGCTTGGGTCTGTTCCGGATGATGCCTGCAGCAATCGCATGGAGAAGGACCCACCCACGAGACCCCCCCCCCTCGCCCCTTTGGCACAGCTGTGTGGGGCCTGCAACCAAAGCGATTGCAAGTGAAAACCCAGGAGGTGATAATGATGCCTCTTGAAGGCTTCATTATTTAAAAAAACAAAGTGGGACATGATGTTCCTTGGTGGAGATCGTCATTCTCTCAGATCATTTACACTGCGTGTCAGTGTGTGATCCCCTGCGTGGCACCCTCAGGCAGAACTGCCGCGAATTTGTGCTAGCAATTTGTGGAGCTACCCCTTGGCGCCTCACCAGGCCCAGCCCTGGTAACTAGTGCAAGAGCCGGTGCTTTCCCTGCCTCCCACAACCCCCCTTGCCCATTCCCGGTCGCTTTCCCACATTTGACTCCAGCTTGCACGCCCCTGGCCCTCTCCTGTTCTCTGCAAAAGGCCCCTGCATGCTCTGCATGCCGCATTATCCCGGTCTGGTCCCATCTCCGGAATTTTTACAGAGGAGAGCGGCGGGGACGCTGAGCGGTCGGTCCGCCAGTTTCAGCTGCGCGGCGAGGGCGACCCCCTGACCTCGATGTCGCGGTTCAGCTGCCGGACGATGGCGGTGATGTTGCGGATGTGCTCCTCCAGCAGCTGCCGGGCCAGCCGGTCCCCGCCGCCCTTGTTCTGCATCCTGCGCAGTGTGCAGACGATGTCCTCCTTGATGCGGAAGGCGTGCTCCACCAGCGCCGCGGTGGTCTTCTCGTGGCTGAGGATGCGGTCCTCCAGCTGGTCCATGAGGCGGGCCGAGCCGAGGGGCACGGCTGTCAGAGCCTGGCTGTGCAGGGGGATATTCTGGATCCGCCTGCAGGAGGGAAGCGGCCGCAAGGTGACGAGGCTCGCATTCTGAAGCGCTCACGCGACCCACGGCACGCTTTAAAATCCCGCCTGTCTTTTGCCGCCTTTTGACTGTACGAGGGGAGCCGGACCAAGAGGCAGCCACGGTCACCACGGGGAGTTTCATGTGGCTGGACATCCATAAGACCTCGTGGCAAATGTAACTCATCCAAATGCACACATTTGATCAATGGGCAAAAAACCATTGACATTTCCCAACCGTGCATACCCACATGCCTTTTAGTCAATCAGAACAGACATCTAAAACGAAATCCACTGAAAAGCCATAAAAAAGGCACGGATCGATGCATATATTGAGAAAATGTGCATATATTTCCTTTTTTAAACAAATTAAATCCTGCAGAAACAGGACAGAAGGAACTTGACCTTCAACAACGAAGAAGCTCAGCGAGGCTGAGCATGGCCGGGCCACCCTGAATGCAGCCTATGGGGAAAAGCTGCCCCCGAGGGGAGAGTCTGTCTAAACCCAGGTCCTTCCACATGCAGGCATGCCCCCCCCATCCCTGAAAGAGCACGCATGAGAAGGGGGCACAAAGGCAAAGGGTTGGAAGCACAGCTTTCAGCCCCGGCTTCGCGCAGGCCTCGTGGTACCTTTCAGTCGGGCCGAGCGTCTGGAAGAGAGGGCTCCTCTGCGCCATTTTCTCTTTCCAGGAGTTTATGCCTGTGGGAACAGCAGGGCACCATGGACCGAAGCCTTGGGATTGTTCGTCTCTTCGCACCCTCCACAGAGAGGCACCCGGGTGGCTTTAGTCAGGCCCGGCTTGCTCCAACCTCAGCCCTAGCCACCCTGGCTGGGGATGATGGGAGCTGCACCTGCCCATCAGGAAGAGGCCGGGTGAGGGGAGGCGGGGCTGCGTGTGGGGGATTCACGCAGCCAGAATGCTCTCCACAAAGCCCGTGTTCTGCGGCTGGGCGAGGGCCAGGACGCGTGAGGGCGTGCAGCGCAGGACTGTTTCCCAGCCTCTGTTTCCCCACAGGACCAGGCATAGTCTGGCCAGGCTGGATGCCGCCTCATAAAAATCCGCTGCCTCGGCCATCCCCAACCAGGTGTCCTCCAGTGGCACTGGCCGCGTTGTTATCACTCATTCATGATCACCCTCTCCATGGCACTCACCAGCCGAAAGACACCAAGGTGACACAACTGCTGGAGAAGACAAACCCCTCCAGCAATGAAGATAAGTACATGCAAATGACATGTTCCAAAGCATCCCACTGGAGAGGTACCGCTTCACACGCTTTCCCGAGGCCTGCTGCAGTCCCCAAGCAAGCATCCCCCGCGGAGTATAACTCTCGTCCCCCCAAGGCAGGTGCGGTGCTGGCAGCCCTAGATTTCCCTGCTCTGCAGCTTGTGCTGCCTTTCCGGATGTGTCTTTCTATTCCCTCCCCAACGTGTGCCTTCTTCTCGAGCATCCGACAGACACCGGGGCCCAAAGACGCCTTGCTGGAGAAGGCTGCAGCTCCTAGCCTCCCTCGTTAGTCCCTGGCCCCACGGGAAGGCGGTGATGGGAAGGCAGGACCTCTCCGAGGCACAGTGGGCGCCCCAGGTCTGTCCGGCTCTGCACCGGAATTCCAACACAGGAATCTGCAATATAACATTAAGCCAGGTACTCCTGGCGCCCCTGCGTGGCTTTTGGGGTTCACAGAGGCAAGAACCAGGCCAGCCTATGACCAAAGGGAAGCCAGACTGGGGAGAGGGGATCGACTTGCCATGCAGGGGGGAGGACGGCCAATTGCTCTGAGGCTGATTTCGCATTCCCTGCAACCGCCAAACTCCCACTGAAATCTGGCAGGATGCACTACCGAAACTGCTTGGGAACTGCTGATTAAACTTCGTGCTGTATGGTACACAGATGGGAAGGGAACAGAGGGGTTATTTCAATGGAATTGTCAGCTTTGGGGAGGAAAAAAAAGGAAGGAAGGAAGGAAGGAGGGAGGGAGGGGGGGAAGCGGATATCCTGCACAACATCACACGGTCCTGTGTGTTAATGCTATGTGACATGTTTTGGAAGCATTGCTAAGAAAGCGGCAGTGGGGAGGGGAAGACACACCCATTCAGTGCTCCATGTGGCCCCTTGGTGGGATGTTTCAGAACAAAACTGTTTCCATGTCTACAGGAATTGCCTCTACACAAATCAGGCAAAAATGGCTGCAGCACATGGGCTTTGAGGGCCCTCCTGCCCACCTTGAGTGGTGCCCAAAGATTTGGAGATGCCTCGACATGCTAGCAGTTCCAGGGTGACATTTGGTGACAGCGTGTTGCCGGGCAAGGGCAGGTCATGTGACAGGAACGCACGGTTGGTTTGGTCCAGAGACGCGCTTGACCAGGGCCGGGGGGCCGTGGGGAGCATGAGCAAGCGCCCGGTGACTGCAGAAAACGCCCAAGGTTGGGGAGGTGAAGGAGAGGGGCCTCGCAGTGCAGAGGTCTAGAAATGATCCTTTTCATTACCTGTGAGTTGTAGCCCAATAGACCCAAAAGACCCAGGACGGCGATGGCCGGGTGTCTTGTCTTTCAGATGGATCAATCATGCGAACATGCTTTAGCGGGTTAAAATGGTGTCCCCAGTTAAATGAGAAGCACAGTAGCAAGCCATGGGCTCACTCACCACCACGACAGTCATTTGCTGTTGGGTTCTCAACCACACTCTCTTCTTGGTTAAACAACCACAGTCTGCCAGAGCAGCTGGGTTCAGACAATGCGGTAACCCACAACGGTCCTCCCAAAACCCGAGTGTGATGCCCCCATTGTCCGTGCCCAGTGCAATGACAGTTCCCTCTGCGCAGCCTTGGGGATAGGTCTGTACTCGCCTCCTGCAGCTACTGCTAGTGACAGCAAGTCACGCAATGAGGATGTAAACAAGGGACCCAAATGCCAGCGACCCCCATTATCAACCCCAGAAGCAGCATCATAGGAGCCGAGAATGTCCCCCACAATGTCAAAAGTCTTCTTCCAATGCAACCTATGCCTCCTGGCGCCGGCAAAGCACTTCCACATTCTACACAGGGCAAGCAGGCCAAGCTTTGAAGGAAACTATAATCAGAAACAAGGTTGGAATCAGTGCAGCGAAGGGCCACTAGGATGGTGGCTGGTTTGCAGGGGAAGCCGGATGAGGAGAGACGGAGGGAGCTGCCTCTTTTCAGCCTGGAGAGGGGGAGACTCAGAGGGGACCTGTTAGAGATGTACAGGTATGTGAGGGGGTGTCATTCAGATGTGGGACATGACCTTTTTTCCTCTGCAGTGAAAGGTAGGATGCGTTCCAATGGAGCAAAGCTCAGGGAAGCAAGATTTAGGGTGGATGCCAGGAAGTACTTCCCGGGGTATGGAATGGGCTTCCACAGAAGTGGTTGAAGCCCCATCGGTGAGGGTGTTTAAGGACAGGCTGGACATGCACATGGTAGGCATGTCATGAGTGGAACCGGCTGGAACCGGGGGTCAGACTAGATGGCCCAGGAGACCCTTTCTGACTCACTCTGTTTCTAAAGCTGACACCAGAAAGGGCAGCCTTCAGGGAGCGAGGAAGGGCACTTCGGCCTCCCCTGCCTCCCACTGACATTTAGGTGGCCTTTCTTGGACAAAGGAGCGTCGAAGTCACAGATCCATGTGAAGTCGCTGAAGTAAAGCTCATTGAGAGGTTCAGCTAATGTCCCTAAATATCATATAACTTGTGTTAAACCAGCCAGAAACATTTTATGAATGGGCATTGTTAAGATAATGATCACTCTGTATGTTTTGTATCTCAAGTTTGCTTTGTCTTGACTGTTTACAGTCCCAAGAAGGGGGCATATAAATCTGGTACTCCCATAGAAATGTTTTTACCCATCTGCAAAATTATACAAATTTAAGTTATCACACTTTCTTCAGACTAATTCCCCACACCCATGAGCATTAACATTCAAAGTTTCGGAAGCCACCCTGTTGGTTCAATTGCAGAATCAAAAGGCTAAATAGAAATATTTTAATAAATATGTAAGATGCTCTTGGAGTTTCACTTTTGCTTTGCACGTGATGCTAACCCAGGGTTTATTTAACCCATGCCCTACCAGCATTCGTCTGGCAGATGACCAAATACATGGTGGTTTGCTTGTTCAGTCTTGTGCTACCTTCTCCCCCCTTCACCTGCTCTGCTTCTGTATCAAAAACGCCATTGTGACATGGTACCATTGGCATACATAGTCACTTAAAAAAAGCACACCATCTTTGCCTCCTGCCTCCATAGCCTGGTAAAACAACCCATGAATAACCTAAGTCTGGGTTATACAATGAAACCACCTGTGGCTTAAACACCTTGGAATTCTCAACCCAACAACTGATGTGGTTAACAAACCATCGCTTGTTATTCATGTATTACAACAATCCATAACTCACCATGAGTTGGCATTCCATGAGATCCAGGCACTAGTGAAAAGGTGAGAAGGAGCACCTGTAGGCACACCTGGGTACCCACACAGGGCAGGTGGGGCTGGTGGGTCTGTCTGCGAGGGCTTGGGGGGCTCAGGGCAGTGACAGACGGGTTGGGGCGCCATCAGTGATGGCCACACAGGCCCCGAAGGGGCCCGAAGGCCAGCCAAAGCCCAAGGGGAGTGAAAGCACCGGGCAAGCCATTTCGTTTCCTCAGCAAAGGTTCAGTTCCAGTGCTGAGGGTGATAACGAGGCGGAAGGCGCTCCCCCAGGGCATAGCAGGGACCCCTCTTGGTTCTGGAGAGCAAGCCAAGCAGGCGCGGTGGCTGCTGCTCACCTGGGCAGCGAGTTGGCCATCCATCCCAGCCGGTGCTTGCAGCTCGCCGTTGGGGCTACAGGCGGACCTGAGCTGGGAAGAAGCGTCCTCCGGATCGCCCTGGAAGGAGCGGCTCTTGCGCACCCATCGCCCCACTTCCCACTGGGGTGTTCCCATATTAATGTGTGGGGGTGGGAAACAGGTGCTGCTCAGACTTCCCTCCACAGCCCCCAAACCAAGGGGTAGCCCCGATCATTTCCTAGCATATCCCAGTCAGAAAAGCCCCCTTGCATCTCTGCGCACCCGTCCACGGCAAATAGCTGAACAGCAAACACACGGAGCTTCGTTTAAGCCACTCATCCAAAGGGGCTCCCCGTTTGCAGCCCCCGCTCCCCATCCCCTGTCTTCCCGCTGTGCGCACACACAGGCATGAGGGCGCGCGCGGGCCACCCCCGAAACGCGCTCCCCTGGCTCGGCGGCTTTCCTCTTGGAGAGCGCATTCCCCACCCTCCCCTCCCCTCCCCATTTTACCCCCCACTCCCAGCATGCCAGGGCCCTTGGACCTCCCCTCCCCCCCGCCTGGGGGGGGCAATAATGCAGTCCACTCACAACACCACATGCCACGGCAGCGCCCGGGCTCCGGGGACAGCGCTCAGCCCGGCCGGCTCCCAACGCTGGAGCGCGTGTGTGCGCCGGAGCCGGAGCCGGCGCCGTCGGGAGCACGTCGCGGGGGCACGGGGCGGCATGCTGCCCCCCCGGAGGGTTCCCCCCGCCCCCCCCCCCCGCCCCCCCCCCCCCCCCGGATGCGCCGAGCAGGCTTGACGGCGACTCACCTGCAAACACGGGGGTGGTTCGAAGGGATGCCGACCAAAATAGCTTGCCGACGGCGCCGCCACGCGCCCGGCACGCTCACGCACGGCTGAAGGGGGCCGGGGCCGGGGCCGGGGCCGGGGCCGGGGCCGGGGCACACACACGGCAGCCGCGCCTCCAGCCCCCGCGCCTGGCCGCGGGGAGGAGGCGGCTGCCCGCAGCCCTCCCGAAGTCACATGCCCGGCGGCCCCCCGGCTGCCCCCGCGCCCGCCCTGGCGTCTCCGGCCTCGGCCGCTGCGCCGCGATGCTGCCCGGGGCCTCGCCCGGCTGCCTTGCCTTCCCGTGCAGCCGCCGCGACGCGGAACCCTCGCCGCGCCTCTGCGGGCCTCGCGCCACCAGGCTGGGGGGATGAAAGCAGAGCAGCTGCGGAGTTGTTGCCAGGACGCTGTCGCCATAGCAACGAGCATCTCAGCCTCCGCAAGCGAGGCCCTCCGCAAGAGAGGGAGAGCGAAGGGGGCTCATTGATAGGGAGCAAAATATTCCTCACGAGCAAGACCGCTCCCCTTCGAAGAGGCCTCACCCCACCGTTATTTCTCAGTAGGGTCAGCTTCTTGCAGAAGGTCGGCCAGGAGAAGGACGGGCATGTTTCCGACCACAAATCGCCCGCTGCAAGACGGATTCTAACCAAGCACAGTGCCAAGAGAGAGCGCTCTGGATTCCCCTCACTAAGCCTTCCATGCGCGCTGCAGGAGTCTTGCAGAAAATGTGTCTGTGCACCTGAAAGGCCAGGTACGAGCTCCGCCTGCTGACCATCTGGCCTCAGGCTGAAGCGGCAGGCCTGGCGGACAGTGTCAGGCCGGCCTTGCTGCAATGCCAGCCTCCGTTTTCCACCGGGACAAGCACACTTCCCTGCCACGCAGGCGTCCCCCAAAGGCTCTCGCAGCACCCTCTCCACAAAATCGGAGAGGGCGCTGCTCCAGGGAGACGGGAGGGAGGATGCCGGGCACCAGCCAGGACCGCTGCTGTGAGCGGAAGTGCAGAGCATGCGCCAGCGGGAAGCTCTCCCGCGCCCGCCCTGCTGAATTGCCCCTGAGCGGCACATGCAGTGCGCCGCGTTACCCTCCTGGCAGGGACACGGGTGTTGACCCACCACCTCTGGCACCTACCCAGGCAGATTGTCTGTGTGCACAAAGGGGGCCGGTGGACAGCATGCTCATGTCCTGATGCAAACCAAACACTTCTCTGCAGTCGGTTCGTGTGCTTCTTGCTGCCGCCGTTTAACAGCAGTCCCCTGCAAAACTCAAGTCTGGGCCAAGGGTCACCCTCAGAGTAAACTATTTGGATCTGACTGGGGTTACGGAGGAGGATTCCCAGAACAACTTTTTCTTGGCAGGTTGATGAGATGAATGTTGTTCCAGGATATTCAAGAGCAGGGAAGGCAAAACGGGACCCTACAATACACCAAAAGCCATACCTGGAGCAAAAGGCTCCAGATGCCACTGCTGGGGACCAGCGTTCCCAGCATCCCTGCTCTGTCCTCTTTGCCTTACACCAGGGGCAGCACCTGAGAGCGGAACTCTGCATCCTGGGGAAGAAAATGGACCTTGCAGGGATGCCCCTGCCACTTGCATCCCCAGAGGCATCTCCAGGTAAGGCTAGAAAAGCTGCCGCTGCCAGTCAGTGTTGGCAGTCCTGGACTAGACATACCAGGAGACTGACAGTTGCTGGGATGGGGAAAGGGTGTGGCTGGGTATCCGTAACTGAGCCAGTATGTGGGAGGTGGGGGAGAGAAGAACTGCCTAGGCCAGGAGGCCCCGACACGGCACCCAGGAGCAGCCACACAGCTTGTGCCGAGTCCCCTTGAAACACGCAGCAGTGCCAAAGGAGCTGGAACTTGCTGGACCTACAGGGTTCCCTCCCCTCAAGGCACCCTTGATCAGCTGACTGCTGACCTAGAGGCTGCCAACGGACTAAGGCGCCCCTCTGTCTTCAGGCAGGGGTTAACCAACGTGGGAAAATGTCCTGCCAGATCGTGACAGATCCACTTATCCCTGATGTGACAAGCCAACCCCTCCAGGAACAGAGCCGCTACTTGCTCCCAGGCCTGAAGCAGACAGGCGAAAGGTGCCGGTTCCATCCAAGGCAGACTCTGACCCCCATTGGTCAGCAGATCTGCCCGTTGCCTTCTTGAACGCCACTCAGGAGACAGGATAGTTCCCCAACAGAGGGCTGGATTGGAGCAGCTCTGGCTGGCCCCCTGGCCACACTCCCTTGCAAGAAACTCTGCACACAGCGAGTGCTGACCTGCTCCACCGGGAAGTCTTCCTGTCACGACAAAAGGTGTGGCTCACACTGGGAAAACAGCAACGCCTTACCCAAACTTCTCTGGAAGTGCCACAAGAAAAGAGTGGGCTGGTCTCTTTCAGGAAGCACACATTTGAGGTGGGCGGCCTGAGCTGCCGAAGCAGAGCCCAGCGGCCATCCGCGGACGCGGCAGTTCCGAGCAATTCAGCCCGGCCCTGCAGCTCTGACGCCCGCAGGTGCTCCAGCTCGCCCGGCTCAGGAGGCAGTGACCCGTCAGGCTCCATCAGGAAATCCACCACCTGTCCTGGCAGCAGCCCAGAATAAGGGGCCGACAGGGCTGGGTCACAAAGGTTGGGGCCAGGTTTCAGCACCTTGGCCAGCGACCCCCGCACCGGCAGAGTCCAGGAGCGACCAGCAAGCGTTGGGATTTATAGTGGGGACAGGAGAGTCTTTCTGGAAGCCCTGCCCCACTCAGGTGCACCTGCTGGCTTTTAAAGGGCCAGCAGCCTCCTAAACTTTGCTTCCTCGAAGCAGCGCTTGCCTGTAGGGATGGGCTGTTTTTAGGGAAGAAAGGCCAGAGAAGAGTGGGGCCAGTTGGGGACTGCTCCCTGGGGTCCTCCTAGTCACCAGCTGGGGATGCCGACTGGGGTACTGGCACCTCCAGGGATCTGTGTGGAAAGACACGGGGGGCAGGAACGGGTCCTGATGCCTCCAGGGTCGCCCTCACGGAGGCCTCTGCCTCTGAGGAGTGCCGGTCCTGGGCCCGACAGCCGCTTGCCTCCACTCCCAGCCTCCCTCCCTGTGCCCAGCAGCCATTGTCTGACCCGCTGCATCCTCCGAGGGAGCCATTTCAGGGCGGCACCCGGGGCAGTTCCCCACATTCCCAGATGGGCTGCATGTCCCAAAAGTCGGGGGCCGCCGGCTCGTCCGTTCGGCTTCCCAGCAATTACGGATGATGCCCACGCGGGGGCACTGTTGTCCGCACCAGCGCGGAAGGCTGGGCGACGCAGCTTTAGCTGGCCTCCGATCTGCGTGTGGATGCGCACTTACTGATTTGAGGGTTTAGAGAGGGGCAGGTGAGGGGAAGCACCCCACTCCAGCTCAGTGAGGAAGACTGGAAATGATCGAAGCAAGCTCTTCGGTTAACCCTTGTTCCCACACGCAGCCGAGTCTGCCCTCGGCTTCCTGTGCAGTCTCCCACGTTTTTCTGTCAAATTGTAATCACCTTGGGGGCAGGGACCTGCCTTGTCTTATTTTAGCTTGGTAGCCATTTCAGTCACCACGTCCGCCAGCCTTCAGTGTCCCAGGAGCAGAGCCAAAACGTAGCAGAGAATGGCCAGTGCGCTCCTGGAGGGGCAACCCTGGGGTAGTTTGGGGGCATGTGGGGTAGATAAACAGAGATCGAGCTAATTTCGGCTGGGCTGAGCGCGCCTCTGCCCCGCGCCGGCCTTAGCTGAAGCTGACACGGCGGGGGCACGGCACTGCCCTTCCTTTCCCTCTGCTCAGACCCGGGCGGGTCATCGCGCGAAGCGGCGTGGCGAGAGATGCAGCGGAGATGCGTGGAGCGGCTCCGCACGGGGGGTGGGCACGGAAGGAATCCCCGTCCAGCGAGGTGGGCGGCAGGCGACCGCCCAGAGGACCGAGCTCGGCCAAGCGGCGCCCGTCGCCGGCCCGCCCTGCCTCGCAGGGCTGCTCTGCGGATCACGCGAGAAGGAGCAGGACAGCGACGCGGCCCCGACGGGTCGTGGGGCTCCCTGGGGAGCAGCCGCCAGCCCCTCCCAGGCCAGTGCGCGGCGGTCGCGCCACAGGGGCGCGCAGGGCGGCGAGGCGCTGCGCTGCGCTGCGCTGCGCTGCGCTGCGCCCTGCCTGCCTGCCTCTGCCGGCGCGGCCTCCGGGGGGCGCCCCTCCGGGAGGAGCCAGCGAGCGGGCAGGGCGGGCTTGTGGCGCGCCGGCCTGGCCCTGGATGGGCGGCCGCGAGGGGCGGCTCCGAGGACGCGGGCGGAGCGCAGAGCCGGGCGGCGCCGCCCCCTGGCCCGGCCCGGCCCGCCTCGCCTCGCCTCGCCTCGCCTGCGGCCGGGCTGCCAAGTTCCCAAACGACGAGGACGCGGCGGCGGCGGCGGCGGCCACAAGCCCCGGCTCCGGCTCCCTGCATGGCGCGGAAGCCTCGCCGAGCCCTCCGTCGAGCTTGGGCCGGAGCGCCCTGAACGCCGCGCCCGGGAGGGGATCGCCCGGCGCCCCAGCCATGGTGAGTGCGGCCGCCGCGCCCCCGACGGCCTGCGCAGCGCCGTGCTGTTGGGCGCGAAGGCGCGCGGAGCCGCCGGGCCGTGAAAGCCCCCGCCTGGTGCCGGCGGCGCGGAGGCGGAGGCGCTCTGTGTACGCTCGGGAGAGCGGTGCTCCTGCCGCTTCGGCGATGCTGCGGCGCAGCTTGGCCCCTCGCCGCCGCCGCTCCCCTTTCCAAAAGTTTCTGAAGGCTGCAGTTCTAGGCGCGCGTGCTGGAAAGGGTGCCCCCCCCGTACCCTCGAGGGGGCTTACTCCTGAGTTATCCGTCTGTCTGTCCCGCGGTCCTGGATGCAGTGGTCTTTGGCAAACGGGAGCTTGACGGTTGTTGAGTAGGGCACTGCGCAGAGTGCCACAGGCCAGGTAAAAGTTTGTCTGCAGGTCTCTGCCCGCAAGAAACTTGCGGAGGAAAATCAGTAGGCTCCTTAAGATTTGCCCTCGAGGCTTTGCGCTCTAGCCCCGGCTCGCCTCCTGCTGACCCAGTTAATTGGCCTACTAAATTCCGCTGGATCCTCACTCTGTGATCTGCCAGGAGTCACAGATGCTCATCGCATGTTCTGGGGCTGGGATGGCTGGGTGTTTGGGCTCTGCGAATTTCCAGGCAGGTCTAGCTTGCATGCGAGGATCTGGAGAGAAGCGTTTCCACTCTGGTTACTCACGCTGCAACGGCTTTAGCAGATGTCCCGGGCCTCTGCCAGAAACCGGGGCTTGCACATGTGCCCAGCTCAGCTGGCCCTGGACCTCTCGGGCTGCCCTGGGCTGCAGATGGGCCACCGAGTGGCTTTTGGGTACCGAATGGGAGGCGCCCCAGCCTGGCCCAGGAGACGGTTGCCCACACAAGCGCTGTTGCTCGTCCTGGTGATTTTGGTGGCGATTGTGCAGGAGAATTCCCCAGTGGATCGTGCGCTGTGCCAGGGATGGGTTGGCGGGGGGATGATCGGCTTTTCCACAGCATGCACTTGACGGCCTTGACGGCCTTTTCTTTACCTTCCAGCATTGCTAGTACAGTATTTCCACGTGGAATGCCCAGATCTTCTGGTCTTGGTCTCCTCTAATGCAACTTTTGTGTGTGTGTGTGGGGGGGGGTGGGGGGCGCGTGCTCTAAAAGGCACGGACTATTTTACTGGTTTGTAAAGCCTATGAGATGATTTGGTGCTCCCAGACCGCAGGCTGGCAAACAGCTTCTGGGTTCCTGATGGCCACCCACTGGGGGAAGGGATACCTTTCTCAGCCTTTCCCTTAGCCAAGTGATGATGTTTGCTGTTTTTGCACACTTGGTGGAACAGGCTGTCTTTTGCTTTTCCTCCCACCTCTGAGCGGGTGCCAGTGCCTCAGGCGGAGAAGTCCCTCTCTTCCAGGATAGCTGGAGGCGTCACACGAAGTTGGTGGAAGGCAGGCAGTTCGGCTCATGAGCTGGATGCGATCACCTGGAGGAGTTCGTTTGCCTGCCACATGAAAGCAAAAGGCTGAGGGTGCCTTTGGCTGCTGCTGGCGGAACAGGCAGAGTTCCTGCATGCGTCCAAACCCAACAGAGAGCTTGCCTGGTGCCTCGGCGTCGTCGGCATCGTCGCCCAGTGAGAGCCGGGCTGTCTCTGTCTGAAGCGAGAGCGGAAGACGCGCAACCATAGAAGGATAGAAGGTGTTCTGTCTCAGGCTACTTTGGCGTCCTTGTTTATGTCTTTTTTTTCTGGCACCGGGAAAAGTAAACACCTCCTTCACCAAAGAGTTGAGTCAGCTGGGACTAAGAAGCTACTGTTGGGACACCCTTGCCCTGGGCTGGCTTGGAACCGGGCGGCAGGGATGCCTTTGCAGGGTGCCTGCAGACGCCGCTCTCAGCAGCCAGAGTACAGCTGCCCCGTCACACGCCTGTGCCGCACGCCTCCACGTCTCTGCTCCTGCAGGGTGAAGCCAAGCAAGCACTCTTCTTTCTCAGCGTTGTGCCCTTCTGGAGTGAAGCCCCCCAGCACACGCGCGGCCACCCTTGGGTGGAATGTCGCCCAACGCAGCCATGGGGGCAGGGAGCGGAAAGGGGCAGAACTTGCAAGCCAGAATTTGCAGCCTCTTCCCTGCACCCCAGTGCAGAGCAGAGAGAGGACTTGCCACCGTTGGCACAACAGCAGGCGATTCTCAAAAGGTGCTTTCCTGTAGGAAGAGCCTCAAGGCCGGGTCAGGTTGCGATCCACCCGGCCCCACATTCGTTTCGTGGGGTGGCTGGCCAGTGACCCAGTGGGGAAGCTGCCTAGGTGGGCAGGAGTGCCGCAGCTCCCGCAGCCCATCTTCCCCAGCGACTGGCGTGCCTAGGCGTGCTGCTGGAGGGTGCACAGGCCACCTGGACTAGTAGCCATTGATGCCCAGCGTTGATTTGCAGAACCCCTTTGGTGGCCATTGTGACGTTTGTTGTTTACGTGCTCTGGGAGGAAGGGCGTCCCGTTGCCAGGTCCAAATCTCTTCCCCGTCGGCTTCACGGGATGACGCCATTTGGGTGCTCGCATTTTGAGAGAGGGAGAAACAGGTCTCCCCGTCCACCTCTTCTGAACCAGGCAGCTTTGGATTCCTTGAGGATTTACCTCTGGCTTCCCTGCTAGGTGAGACGACCAGCAATGGCGGACATGTTTCCTCGAAGGAATACTGTGTGAACAGAAGGTTTTGGTTGCGGAGCTGGGTGGCAGAGTCTTCGTGGCTCGAGGCTTGGAACATCACACCCAGTCTGAGCCACAGTGCAGGACTCGATCGGGCTGATGCTCTGCCCTGTGCCTTGGAGGCTTCCTTGGAGTGTGTGTTGCTGTGCGTGGGAGCAGGAGTGTGAGCCCTTTGCGGCCAGCCCTCCCGAGTCCTTAGGTGCCCTCTGTCGCACCGACTGTGAGGATGAGGCCTGGCAGGGCCCTTGTGAACCAAGGAGGGCAGCCTGCCTGCAGAGCTCTGCAGGCGCTGTGCGGAAGAGGGCCGTGCTTCTGCATGCGTGCAGTGGCCCTGGGCGAAATCCTGGCATTTCCTAACCAGGCCAGCCTGGAAGGCTAGAGAACCATTGCCAGCCCGTGCTGGAAGTGCTGGGCTAGACGACGCTGAGGTGGATTTGGTATAAGTCAGCGTCTTCGCTTCCTTGGCAGATGGCTTCATGAGAAAAAGCTTCCTCGGAACTAGAGAACTTGAAACACTCCGTTTGCGAGATTGATGATACAAAAAAAAAAAAAAAAAAAAAAGAGCATAGTGTTAAAAACCCTTAAACACACACACAAAGGTGTGTGCAAGACGTCTTCCTGAAAAGCCACAGCTCCTGCAAGCACACTTGTCGACTTGCCAGGCTGCAACCCAGAAGTTCCCTTGCTAGCGCCATCGTAATTCTGCCACTGAGCTGACGGCTGAGAAGTTGCAGGCCTTGCCCGGCCTGTCCTCATGCTGCGCAGGGCACCTGGAGCCCCCCTTCCTGCAGGAAACAGGCCAGGGCAGCCAAAACTACGGCGGCCTCACTCTCTGGTTTAGCTGGGGTCTGCAGCCAGAGGAGGACAGGTGGCATCCTGGCAGACACCCCTTTCTCAGTAAGAGGCGCTTGCGTGCGGCACGACTGACCTCTCTGCTCCGGCTGCTCTGTCAACTGCAGCCGCTCTGTGGGACCGCCTGCCTGTCCTTGCAGTATTTGCGGCGTTCGTTCCACCCAAGCCCGTTCGGCACCGAGGCTCCCACTGCCAGACTGCGTGTTGGAAGCTTTGTGCACTGAGCTCTGCAGATTATTCAGAGCTTACGTGAAGGCCAGGCTGCAGCCACAAACACCCTGCCTGCTTCCCTCGAATGCAAAGCCAGAACACCTTGATGCCTCTCTGAGTCACGTGGGTGCTGAATGCTCACTTTTTCTCTGTCTGGGGCCAAGTGAGATATTCTCATGGATGTGATAAGCAAGGGTGTGGATGGCCTTTGAAAGTGGAGGCCGCAGGGCTTTGGCTTTGGGGGAGCTGGTTTCTATTCCAGCTTTAACAGGGATTAGGGAACTTGGTGAAGGTATTTGCTGCTCCCCCCCCCCCAAAAAAACCAGCTGTGCTTTTTCTATGCATTGTAAAGCAGCAGCATCAAGGCAAGCATGTTTGCATTGAAAGAGTGCTGTAAATTAAGGACGCATGATCATTTTGTCACCAGTTCACGAACCCTAAGAAAGCCAATGTGGCGTAGTGGTTAAGAGCACGGGACTGGGACTCAGACGATCTGAGTTCTAGTCCCTGCTCAGCCATGGAGCCCACTGGGTGGCTTTGGGCCAGTCACAGACTCTCAGCCCAACCTACCTCACAGGGTTGTTGTTGTGGGGATAAGATGGAGGAGGAGATGTAAGCTGCCTTGAGCCCTTTGTAGGAAAAAGGCAGGATATAAATAGAAAAAAATAAATAAATCACCTGTAGATTGGAGTACCCTCTCTTCATAAACGCCTGCACATTCCCAAGCTTGCCTTCGCATTCACAAAAGCTGTATTTGCAAAATGTGTGATTTTCCAAAAACACGCACACTTTAAATCACCTACACTTTGGTATACGGTGGGGGGGGGGGATTTGCCCAGCTTTAGGGAAAGTTTGCACAGCTTCCATGGTCGAGAGCAGTTCCTTTTTCCCATTTCTGCCTTCTGTGTAAAAGGAACGATGACTGCAAACACGCGCCCAGATTGAAGTGCTGTGAGTCACCTTTGGCGAATCGCCACTTGCCAGCCCTGCCTCCAGAACACGGCCTTCGGCTTGGCTTAGCTCTTCCGCTGCAGGGCAACCAGGCGATAACCTGCGCTGTGTTTTCATCTGAGCCTCCACTGCAGCTTTCCATGTCTGTAACTCGAGCATATTGCCTGCTTACATGTAAGGCAGTGGGTGTTCATGCTATGCTGATGACAATCCCAGCTTGAATCAGCTGCATTCTTGCCCTCAGCCCTGGTTCTAAAGCAGCCAAATGGAAAAGGCGGCAGGATGAGCCGTCTTGGGTCGTGATCCTGAGTGCAGC